ATTTTTTGAGTTGGAATACTGGAAAGACAATATGATGTGTCAGAATCTTGACACAATGCATATTGAGAAGAACGTTTTTGACAACATATTCTGGACATTATTGAATGTTGATGGCAAAGGAAAAGACAATTTGAAGTCTCGTTTGGATTTACAAGAGATGAGGATCCGAAAAGCTTTGCATCCTAAGAAAAAAGCTAACGGGAAATATTATCTACCACCTGCATGTTTCACATTGAGTAACAAACAAAAAGACATGCTCTTACAAGTTTTAAAAGATGTGAAAGTTCCAGATGGTTATTCTTCAAATATATCAAATTGTGTTGATCTTAAACAACGCACTATGCATGGATTGAAGAGTCACGACTGTCATGTTTTAATGCAACAACTCCTTCCTATAGCCTTGAGGAATCTTGTGCCAGTTAATGTTCTTAAGCCATTAATTGAGTTAAGCAATTTTTTTAGGGGCATTTCTTCAACAGTTATGAAGATAGGTGAATTAGAAAAGCTCCAAGATCGAGTTGCAATAACTCTTTGTCATTTGGAGAGAATATTTCCTCCATCTTTTTTTGACATCATGGAACATCTAGTCATCCATTTATCTGAAGAAGCAATGTTGGGTGGACCATCCCAATATCGTACAATGTGGGCAATTGAAAGGTATCATTTTATAATATTTATTTTGATTATAAAGAATTGTATTGAAATTCTGTTAATTTTCTACTTTAGGTTCTTGCTTAGTCTTAAAAACTTTGTAAGGAGTAGAAGTCATCCAGAAGGTTGCATTGCAGAGGGACAATGGATACAAGAGATCATGACATTCTGCTCAAGATACTTAGATGATGTGGAGACAAAGTCTAATCGACCATTAAGAAATAATACATTGTCTAATGAAACAATGGATTTGGAGGGTCGTCGATCAAGTAAAGAGAAAGGATTTATTCTTGATGACATTACACATGCTCAAGAACACAAACATGTTTTATTTAATGCTGCCTCCACAACTCCATATCGTGAGTAAGTATTAAATCATTGGTCATGCTTAGTAATTAATTATTAAGTAATAGAATCAACAAGTGCTTCTATTAAGTATAAATGTATTTTACTTTTGCAGAGAACATATAAAAGAAATCAAGAAGGGAAATCCTCGTCTATCAAGACATGATGTGGATCGGATTCACAATGAAAAATTTCAAATATGGTTTAGAAATCATGTAACTATGAACAAACTAAAATATCATCATATATGCATTACTATAGCTATAATAAAAAAATTAAATTTTAACTATACTTTTAAATGGTAGGTTGAGAAGATGCATTTGGCTGGTGAACAAATACCTCAAGATATTCAACATTTAGCTGTTGGCCCATCAAAGCAAGCAAAAAGGATGACGGGATATATATGTAATGGAGTTAGATACTTGACAAAATCTCGTGATGCCAAGAGAAAAACTCAAAATAGTGGTATAATGGTAAAAGCTACCACTCAAAGTTATGCGAGTGCAAGAGATAAAAATCCCATATTGGCAGATGTTTCTTTTTATGGGATCCTCACAGACATAATTGAGTTGTATTACACCAAGAAGTTCAAGTTTGTATTATTTACCTGTAAATGGGTGAACAACAATAAAGGGCTTATTGAGAAAGATGATTATGGATTTACTCTTGTGAATTTTAATCATCTACTCTACACAAAACAACATTTATCAAATGAACCTTTCATCTTTGCTTCTCAAGCTCAACAAGTTTTTTATGTCGATCATCCAATGGAAAATGAGTGGCAAATTGTTGTTAAATTTAAGCCAAGAGGTTTTTATGATTTAGGTGAAGATACACCATCAATTGAGCATAAGGAAGGCCATATGGAATTGTGGCCTGAGCAACAATTGGATGACACTACATTTGAAAGTGAAGACGATATTGAATGGGTTAGACATGGAGTACCAGGAATAGAGATCGACCCACAAACTTTGGAATGTAATGAAGCATTTGATGAAGATGATGATACATCTTAATTTTTATTACTATTATGTTATTATGATTATTTTAATTTAGATTGTTATTGAACAATATAAATTTTTGCGTTTTTTACTATGTCATTCAGTTGTTAAAATCTCGTATGGTTATGTGTTTTGTTATTCATATGCTTATGTGTCTTATTATTTAACTTGATAGTTAGATATTATTTTTGTACTTTTGGATTGTAGAAAATATTTTTCAATTTGCAGGTATCATAGCTCTTGAGCAAATTTTATTGAAATGGCAAGAAAAAGACAAAGAAATTCTATTCAAGGTGAGGTTTTATGTAACTCTCTGGAGCAACAAGAACAACAAATGGGAAGTGCATCAATGCCCC